TTACATTGCTCTCTCTTTATCTCTATTTATAAGAGAGCCTTGACAGCTTGGTTGAGGGTGGTTGAATGGTGGTTGGAAGTGGTTGATGGTGATTGTTAAAGGAGAGGGTGGTTGATGGTGGTTGATGGTGGTTGAGAAAAAATGTTGACAATTTGCTACACTTTCCGGGAGAAAGATTGTATTCTGTGCTATAATAGAAATCGGAAAGATTTATTATTTTTCTGGTTGTGGGTGCTGCCGGGACATCTGTGGACATACAGATTCTGCAACAATGTTTGGACCTTCATTTTACAGGATGCTTTGTTTAAGAATGAGAACTCCCAGGAGAATGTAGGTCTGGTTAAAATATATGGTGGCATGTAACTCGAAGCTGCTGACACGATGAGGTTGCAGAGAGCTGGTATCTTCTGGTTGCAGAGGTGGATGGCAGCAGGGAAGGTTGGGAGTCCTGTTTACTGTAGAAAAGCTAACAATACTGTATAGCCATCGACCTATTTCAGCTTACTATATTTGATGATGCATTTGTGGACGGTGCATGCATATAGTATTGAACGATTTGTGTTGTTTCTTTTATTTACGAGTATGACAGGATTTGAGGATAAAGTCATGAAATAACAGTTATCAACCCACCACCAAAGACTTGGATTTGCATCAGTTATAAGATAACTTTGTTTTGATTTTTTTTTAAATAATTCAAAGTTGTTTTGAATTAAAATAATATACAATAATCTTTGATCGTATTTAGATTTAACCGAGTCATCTAAGCTAATTAAATTTAATCAATGGAGTTAACCAAATTTAATTGGATAAATTTTTAAATTGGTTTCATATTAAAACTCAAAAAGATGTATATAACGATAAATTATTGAAGTATTAATTATTTTTTATATCACAAAATCAATTCAACTTAAAAATTTAAGTTATTCAATGGAATCTCAAGATATAAATTATATTATTTTCTAGTATAGCTTCTCGAATTATCTCTTTGTATAAAAAATTTTTGAACTTAAAATTTATATAAACTCAAACTATTTTGTATTTAATTTTTATTAAATAAATAAAATTAATAAAATTAAAATTTATAATTATTTTGTTATTAAAACTCTTATATCATATAAAAAATTAATTTAATTTAAAAACTTAAATTATTAAATAAATTTAAGAATACAATGTATAATTTTTCTCCAACACTGCAATTCGTCTCCCCTGTTCACAAGCAAGCGCATGCACGAAGGCAATCTTTTTGAAGATTTTTCATTTAATTTCTGTGAATTGCAACTACCATGGCCACAATATTCGTTCCACGCAAACCACATTTTCTGCGATTTCTCCCTCCACTACAAAAATTGTGTTTTAAAAAGACCACATAAAGATCATACTTTTTCACTTCTGGTGTATGCAGGTCCAGTCGTTGAAACCGGAGTTGAAATTGGGTTTTGTGTGAATAATAATGGGGCTAAACGTGATAATCCTGGATTAGCTGGTGGTTTAATTTGTGATTCTTCTGGTGCATGATTACACGATTTTACTGCTAACATTCTGTGAAAGCTGCGCCCATCATAAAGTCAACTATGGGGGATTTCATTCAAAGTCTACCATGTTCCATGATTGTTACTTTCATAAATGGCAAACCCTAAGTGTAAATCTTTGAAGAAATGTTTTACTTTCCACAACTTACTTATTATTGAATTGAAAGTAATTTATTCCTTTGCAATCAATTAAAGAGTGCCTGTTACCGTCTTGGCTGGCCTGAGTGGAAGGGGTTCCGGTCATTTAAGCAAGTTGTCTCGGATTCGAGTTCTTGTGGATGCAGCAAACTTTCTCGAGAGAAATCCCTATCTTGACGTCCGACAGTACTTCGAAGGATGAGTCCTCGATAATAGGGACGCCAACTAAGTTCTTCCTTTCTCGTTCTATGCAACTGTTGGAATTTTTGTCACCGAATTGTCTTTGATTCAACTTTTTATTATATACGCGGTCTAAAGTCAAGAGTGGATGTCCTTGTTTGTGGAGATCGAATGAACCCTATATGTGCAAAAAAAAAACGTGTTTTTGTGTACCAGGTAGAAATATTTGATCAAGCACCGAGCAGTCAGCTAGTTTCACGGGTGCTTCTCCTTGAAAAAACTAATTTAATATCACATGTACAATGACCCACTTATGCCTTGTGAAAAGACCTCGAGAGCAATGTTCGAGAGCATTAATTTGAAAATTTGGTGTTTTAAAAATATTTTTTTAAAAAATAAAATTAATTTTATTTTTATATTTTTATATTTTTTTGATATATTAATGTTAAAAAATTAAAAATTAAAAAATATTATTTTAATGTATTTTAAGTAAAAACACTTTAAAAAATAACTATTATTTATTTAGTGATATTTTATCTATTTATTTAGTGTTATAACAATAGAGCTTGTAAATGTGAATTAGACTGGTGTCATAAATCAAATTATAATATTATGGCTACGTATTATAATCATATAACTTTGGCTTACATATTTGAATAATAAAATTTTCAACCATAGACAATTTTTTTACCCAATATGTAAAAAAAAAAAACGATATTTTCTATCGAATATGTATTAGTTAATCTATTTAGACGGACAATTATAGTATCATTTTTTTCTTAATATCAAGAAACAAGTCGAGTTTAATGTGGACGGTTACCTACTAACTCACCACAGCAACATATGAACATGTGCAAATTAAGGTCTATAAATAACACATACCCATTAAGCTTTAGTGTCATACTTTAATTACATGCCTAAGAATATGAAGAGCCCGATGACGAGTGCTGTCTTCCTTGCCACTACTTTAGCCTTTGTTGGACTTGTAGCCATTAATGGCTCTCGAGCAAGGATTTTACCAGGTGATTAACATGCTTGTGCTTAGACATATATATGATCAATCTAGTCTCACTAATTTCATAGAAATTTATTCATCTTATAAATTGTTTCTTGATTCGAACATGGTTTGTTTAAAATGATGGACTTACATAATTAAAGAGATTAAAATTTTTGAATGTTGAATCTCTTTGTTCTGGAAATATAGAATTGCTTGGAAATATTCTAAATAAATTTTCGTTTCTTCATGTGATGCAGATAGCCTTGGACTCGAAGTAGCAACACTAGCTAATTATGGAGGAACTTATAGCCCACCACCTCCATCTCCGATCCCTTCACCAGGAACCACGGAATTAACGGGCAATTACGAGAAGTATCCATCTCCGCCACCAGAGTCTCCGAAAGCTGATCCATCAATCGGTCAAGTGACGCCTAGTTATGGACGGACCACGCCATCACCGCCTCCACCCCCGAAACCTGCATCACCAAAAGCCCAGCTTGAGATTGGGTCTCCATGCACTGATGGGTGCATTTCTATGATAACAAATCTTGAAAGACCAGTACCAAGTTCACCTCCATCTCCAAAGCCAGCATCTCCTACAAGTCAGATAACCTTTGATCTTGAACCGAAAGTGCATGCAGGACCACCACCAGGGCAAAATGTATTTTCAACTTGAGTTGGCTAGTAATTTCCCCTATGGGGTCATCTAATTACTTTAATGGATAGTTAACTAGGAGAGAAGAGATTAATTAGCAAATAAGCATGCTCTCGAGCTATGGCAGTGACCATTTCCCATCTCTCTAGAGCAAGGTTCCGTTGGGTGATGTTCTTGCTAGTTTGGCAAATCTTAGTTCTCTCCATGATTAGCTTGGTGTTTTTAGTGAGAGCTAGCTCTAAGCGAGGTTAACAGAAAGCAGTACTTAGCTGAGTGCTTTTAGCTGGAAAATCTTATGCATACAAATAATGGCAGCGAATCATGAAATTATATATATAATCCTCCTTGGTTTTTCTTCATCTTAATTAATAGCTAGATGGCTTTTACCACAGCTATATATGGGTATCGGAATTCATACACCTATCTAGTTGATCATTTATTCCCAGTAAAATGAATTCGGGACTGATCTTATCGTGATGCACAGCTAGCTAGACGATGGTTGAACACATCATGCAACTATGTATGTATATTTATATTAAGAGAGGTTTTTTCTTTCTTTTTTTGTTTGTGTTTTTAAATGTTTTTAATGTGTTAATATAAAAAAAATAAAGTATTTTTTTTATATTTTTTATTAAAAATATTTTTGAAAATCTACAGCAGGACCAAACACTTAAATTTATGCTATTGAAATCAAATATTGAACTTCTGAGATTTTATCTCAGCACTTATTAATTGATTTGAACTATTAAGCTTAAAGCGGGAGAGTCAGCACTTATTAATTGATTTGAACTATTACGTTTAAGAGAGTGTTTGTAAATAAGATTCGTTTATTTTTTAAAGTGTTTTTTATTTAAAAAAATATATTAATAATATTTTTTTTATTTTTTAAAAATTATTTTTAAAATCAGTATATTAAAATACTTTAAAAATATCAAAAACATATTAATTTAAAATAAAAAAATTCAAAATGTTTTTAAAAATATTTTTAAAATATAGTGCCAAACAATATCTAAAACCGGAGAGTTGTAGGATAACTTGATGGATGTAGACCAAACTTTTAAAGCCATAACAGATCTTGAATTTCACTATAACTGAGATTAAACAAAGAATTACTACGCTGGCTGGCTATGTTAATTTACATGGATATATAGCAGCTCTTTTTAGTAAATTAAAGTTATATCAAGTATATATGTTATAGTTATGTATAATACTCAGAGAGAGCTGCTCCCATTATTTAGCCAATGTTTTGTATGTTGAAGATTATTGATTGGACTGTATTGAAGTAGATTATACTATGTAAATAATTGTGTTTGGTATATTTTGAATTGAAGTATATAATTTATCTTATTTTATATTTGATGGATATTAAATAAATTTAGCTAATTTAAAATGTAAATAAATTTAGGTTTAAAAAAATAAAAAAATTGATATAATCTGACTTGATCAAAAATTTAGATTAGCTCAAAATTAATTATTGATAAAAAAATTATTGAGATTTTTTTACATGAGTTAATAATTACCTTGATGTATGATTTAGATATTGTTCTCACTTGATTTTTTATCTAAATTTTAAAATTATAAAAATAATAATTTTTAATATTATAATTTAGGTGGTGTCGTGTGCATGATGAGTTTAACTTTTGTAACATAAAGTCTTGTGAGTGGTAGGTTAGGACCCCTCTCCCATGGGGTCCTAAAGTTAAAGTAAACAAATTGGAACGACAATGGTAAAGGAGTAGAGGAAGCCGCCACTAACACAGTACAGTTGTCGGTACCTCATGAGTCGCCACTCAGCTCATTGTCCTCAGTTGAGTGGGTTCCTCTGGCCCATGCTTGACGTGACAATGTTTTCGTACGGGTTCACTGTCCGAGAGTGATACTTTTTTGGTCTTTCAGTCAACCACCATGATTTTCCCAGCATAACATATCTTTAATTACACAAGTATATTGTCTCTCGTTTCACAGCAAACTATTAATACTTTTTAAAATATATATATTTTTAAATTATATATAATATTTTAAGTATTTTTAAATTTAATGATAACGTTACGTCAAATCCAAAAACTATAAATCTAAAAGGCATACTAGACCCTGATAGTTTGGTCTGATGGTTATTTCAAACTCCTAGACTATATTTAAAATATTTTAAATAAAAAATTTAATTATTTTTTATTTTTTATGAAAAAATATTTAGACACTTGAAGTATTTTAAAAAAATGCTAGTTAATTTTTTATAAATTTTTTTACCTCTTTTAAAAATAATATTTAAACTATGATTAAAGTATTCAAAACAAAAATTTTAATTAATTTTTTATACATATTTTTTTATTTTCTAAAAATAATATTTAAATTATCTTAGAAATATCCTAAATGAAAATATTTATTATTTATTTAATTTTTTCTATAAAAATATTAAAATTATCCTTGAAGTATCATAAATAAGTTTTTTATAAATTTTTTTGATATTTTATAAAAAAAAATTATACCACCCTTGAAATATCCTAAAACAAAATGTTAATTAATTATTTTTTTTATAAAAAACAACATTTAAACTACTATTGAAGTATTCTATTTAATTTTTTTATATTTTTTTTTCATTTTTTCTAGAAAAAGTTAAGTTATCCTTGAATCTTGAATAGAAATTCTAATTATTTTCTAAATTTTTGTTATTTGTTTCTATAAAAAATATTAAAAATATTCTTGAAGTATCCTAAATGATTTTTTTTATAAATAATTTTTTATTTATATGAAAAAAAAATTAAACTACAAAGTATCCTGAACACAAATCTTAATTAATTTTTATTAGTTTTTTAATTTTTTTATTAAAAAATAAACTATCCTTAAAATAACATAAACATAAATATTAATTAATTTTTTCTATAAATTATTTTTATTTTTTATATAAAAAAATATTTAAAATACTCTTAAAATAACTTAAATAAAAATTCTAATTATTTTTTTATTTCTTACAAGCTCTTAGTTATAGCTACCAAGACAAATCTAAAAATCTTGGATCTAGCAGTCCTGCCTTATTAATTTTTGTTACTTGTTATAAAAAAAACATTTTAAAAACTCTTGAAGTTTCTAAAACTAAAATTTTAATTTATTTTTTTATAAAAAAACACATTTAAATCATTCTTAAAGTGTCATAAACAAAAGTTTTGAGTCTGGTGATCATGCCTATTAATTTTCTTTACTTATTATAAAAAATATTTAAAATATGCTTACATGTCCAAAACCAAAATGTTAATTATTTTTTTTATCAAAAATTACATTTAAATTATTCTTGAAGTATTATAAACAAAAATTCTTGTTATGTTTTTTTATATTTTATAAAAAAATATTTAAACTACCCTTGATTATCCTAAAAATAAATGTCAATTACTTTTTTTATAAATGTTTTTTATTTTTAAAATATTTAAACTATCCTTAAAGAATCATAAACAAAATCTAATTACTTTTTATAAATTTTTTTTATTTTTTTTTAAAAAGCATTTAAACTATCTAGAAGTATCTTAAACAAAAATTCTAATTATTTTCTTATTTTTTATTTTTTCTATAAAAAAATGTCAAAACTATCTTTGAAGTATCCAAGATATTTTTTTATATTTTTTATATAGAAAAAATAAACTACATTTGAAATATCATAAATATAAATGTCAATTAGTTTCTTTTATAATTGTTTTTATTTTTTTATAAAAAAATATCAAAACTATCTTTGAAGTATCCAAATATTTTTTTATACTTTTTATATAGAAAAATTAAACTACATTTGAAGTATCATAAATATAAATGTTAATTAGTTTCTTTTATAATTTGTTTTTTATTTTTTATAAAAAATAATTAAACTACCGGTAAAGTATCATAAATAATTTTTTTTAATAATCTTAAGTCTTGCTGTTAAGTGGGATCCGCTTTAGTTTAGATAATCATGTCATGACCTAACAGGCAATTTTTTGAATAACAATTATAAAAACTAACACCCTTTAATATCTAAAGTATTGTGTACAATACAAACACTTTATCTCTACAACATGTTTCACAATACAAATACTTTATATATATATAATACTAATATAATAATTTTTTCATGTATTTTAAAATATAGTATAATGTAGGTAGCAACTAGCACTATGTCCGTATGATGCAAGTGGTGGTTTTTAATTTTTATTTAAGTTTTTGATAATTAAAATTTATATGTTAAAAAATCTAAACGATCTTGAATGTTTATTTTATCAACAGTATAGATTTTGAAAAAAAGAAGCATTACTCTCGTAAAAGTTCTGATAATTTTGCATATTTTGCCAGGAAATTAAATGTATTCGCCCTATAATTTGCATGATATTACCATGCATCTCCTTGTGAAACAAATGAAAAATGGGACGGGTACAAACTCGCTTGATATGTAGTGGTCTCTCTCATCAGTTTTTGACTAGGTTTGTTGCCCACTGTGGCCAAAATGTTTATCCATGTGAAAACATAATGCTAAAATTTTTTATTGATAATTGAAATAAAATAATAAATAAACCGAAAAAAAGTGATAAAAACTGACATTTTAGATTATTTTAACCTGTGAATTCTATAATCATGAATATAAAATTAGAATAATTTTATAAAAAATAAGAAGAAAAAAATCTAAATACTAGTTTTAATAAATCAAATGAGAACGTGATGAGTTTATAGAAAACAAAATGAAAAGCAAAAAAATTGATGCTCAATTTCTTACAAATAAAATTTTATAAGGATAAAAAAAATTTTAAAAAAATATATTTAAAAAATCTTGATTTGAGCCCATTTGGATCAAGATGCAAAATTTCATACCCAATTATGATGCCAGGGTAATTATATTTGAAAGCAGATTAAATAAAATTATAAAACTCAATTATCAAATAATCTAATATTAAAGAATAAAAATAAAACAATAATAATTAAAAAATTGAGTCAGCCCGAGTTAATTTACTAACCTCGCAATCATGAATATAAAATCATGATAAACTAATAGAAGGGAAAGGAAACATAAAAACATAAAGATCAATTTTCTATATTTCAAATATTAAAAGATAAAATTAAAATAGATATTAAAAAAAAATCAAATTCAACCTGCATTAGGAAACATAAAAACATAAAGATCAATTTTCTATACTTCAAATATTAAAAGATAAAATTGAAATAGATATTAAAAAAAAATCAAATTCAACCTGCATTAACCTTTGAAACCAATAACACTGGTCATAAATTTGAAACTCATCGTATAAAAGGCCGGCCATAAAAAATAATGAATCAAAACTCTTAAAAAAAAAAGAAAAAAATAGCTTAAAAAAAAGAAAAAAAATAAG